GCATGTGGCCTTCAGAGGCTGGAAAATGGGCCCTCTGAGGAAGAGCTGAAGGGGCCATTTCCTCTGCTGCAAAGTCAGATGAGAAGGAACCTACAATTTCTAAGCACTCACAGAGCAACCCCAGGAAATGTGGCAAGCAGCTGTGCGCCAGTTCCACAGAGAACAGGACTTACAGTGGCTGGGTAGAATGGGTACTATAGGTAACGGGGCTGGCCAGCGCCAGCACCAGAGCTGCTCTGTGATATGGTTCCGTACTCAGCAGGCAGCTTCTTCCAGACCCAGCTTGGGAGGGGACACAGCACCCTGGAGGTTAGTTGAGTAAACACAGGCTGACCCCTAAGTGAAAGTTCTGTTTTCCTGAGATTGAGCTAAAAGGTAGCCCTGGAATCTAAACTTCAATCCTTAAGATAGCCATCATCATTTATTTCTTTATTCATTTGTCTGTTTCTTATCTATTACACACTGGCAGAAAAACCAGGTGCATTGGAATTTTGGAAGGAAGTCCACAGAGCAAAGATAGGTGTTCACCCCGGGAGTAACTGTGGTGAGAAGCAGAGGGAGAAAGCAGTATGAAGAGTGAGCCACGGGGGTTCAAGGGAGGTAACCCTCTGTCCTGACTCCAGAGAGGAGGGGTGACCTCGTAGACAAAGTGGTTATTTGGGTCAGGGACTGAGGATGCACAGCCCAGGGAGGATGCACAGTGCAGGGACTTTGGGCAGGCGAGTAGCAGGCAGGAAGGATGTTTGGGGAAGTGGGTGTAGCATGAATCTTTGTATGAAAGTGAGTATTTGATTTTTTGTTACTTAATTTTCAATGGGGACTGTGCTGTGTGTGTGATCCGAGCAGCGCCCAGCATGGTGTTCCATCTATATCTATGGAATGAATGTCCCATCCTGTCTTTCTTTCCTGTTTCTCTTCTATAATTTCTCCTTAGAGACAATGCTCTAACCAAATCTTTCTTCCAGGCTTCACATAGTCAAATTACATCTATCTTGTAAGGCAACTTTCTTTTTCATCTTGGGGTGAAAGGATGCCACCTCTTTCTAACTCCTTTTTAATGAAAATGACCCACGTGAAATTGTTTCTGTAAATCAAAAATGGCTAAATATTGACTACAGTTCAACCTAATCATCATAGCTCTCTGGACCCTCAAACTTCTGGGCTCAAGGGATCCTTCTGTCTCAGCATCCTGAGTAGCTGGGACTACAGGTATAGGCCACCCCAGCTGACTCAAGGTAATATACTTGTATTGACTTGGCACTAACTTGGTCTCATTTTGTGGTATTTTTTGTTTTCAGAATAACACTTTCTTTCTTTGCTTTCTCCCTGCCTCCCCCTTTTACCCCCATCAAATGTAAGCCTCACGAGGGCAGGAACTATGCTGTCTTACTCTTTGCTATATCCTTAGCTGCTAGTATACTGCAGGGTACATGGTCAGTACTCAATGTTTGTTTAGGGAATGAATAAATGTTTTACCTTAGGGTTTGGGCATTAAACAGATTTGATCTAGTTATGGGAATTGGGGGACTCTCTCCTGATGTTGTTTTTCTCATCTCTAGAAGCCAAGCTGTGAAGTACACTACGTCAGTGGTTCCCCAGATCACTGGTTCTCTGTGTGTTAAAAACACAGATTCCAAGGCTGACTCCAGACCAATGGAATTACAATAGAGGGGAGTGGCCCTGAAATCTGTAGGTATCTTTGCCTTCAAAGATAAATTTTAGGTAGCCATCAAAATAGCTATCAAACCTGCACTCGGAAACCACCAGACTCCACAAAGCCACGGGGCAAGAGCTGCATTTATCTTGCTCACTGCCAGGTTCCCGGTGCTTGGCACTGGGCAAACAGCAACAAACGCTTTTCAATGTCAATGGAGATCTTTTTCCATTTCCGAGTTCACCTTAAGCTGCTAAGACCTGTTAGGCTAGCTGAAAATCTTAGATGGCTTGATCTTGAGTTTTCTAGGGTTCTTTTGTATATTTGTGGCAGTGTGTAACAAGCCATGTGTCACTGGGCAATGTAATCTCTCAGAACCTCAAATTCTTCATGAAATAAGGGCCTCTAGGGTCCTGTGAGACTTGATGGTGCTTTCCATAATGACTCTAATACTTATTAATTGTGTGACTTTGGGTAAGTGACTTAATGTCTCACTGAAATACTTAAAATCCCACCCTCCCACCCCTTGCCACTCACTATAAGTCCCATGAGGGCAGAAACCTTAACTATCCTATTGCATCTCTCTCTAATATTTAGTGCATGGCATACAGAAGTTGCTCAATAAATCATTTTTTTGATGCATGATTTTTTTAATGCAATAAGAAAGTAGAAGCTAGTTTAGTTAATTAAAAATTGCATATATTAGCCTGAACTCAATACACTGCTAGTGTAAATATAAACACATACAACCATTTTCTCTTTTTATTTTTATTTATTTATTTTTTGAGAGACAAGGTCTTACCTGACTGCCCAGGTTGGAATGCAGTGACATAATCATGGCTCACTGTAATCTCCAACTTCTGGCTTAAAGGATCCTCCTGTCTCAGTCATCTGAGTAGCTAGGATTATAGGCATGTGTCACTACACCTGGCTAATTTTTAAATATTTTTTTGTAGATGGGTCTCACTATGTTGTCCAGGCTGGTCTTGAATTCCTGGCCTCGAGTGATCCTTTACCTCAATCTCCCAAAGACCCACTATGCTCAGCCATCCTCCTCCTTTTTAAAAAACAAATTTATTGAGGTATAATTCACATATCATAAAATTAACCCATTTAAAGCATTTCAATTCAGTGGTTTTTAGTATATTCACCAAGTTGTGTAACCATCACCATTATCTAATTCCAAAACATTTTCATCACTCCCCACAAAAGAATCACTTGCAATTTTCCTCTCCTCCCAGCCCCTGGCAATTACTAAACTACTTTCTGTTTTGATGGATTTACCTATTCTGCATACCTCATATAAATGGAATCACATAATATCTGGCCCTTCGTGTTTGGCTTTGTTCATTTACCATGGTTCATTCATGTTGTAGAATGTGTCAGTATTTCATTCTTTTTCATGGCAAATAATTTCCATTGATAGATATGCCACATTTTATTTATCTACCTATCAGTTGATAGATATTTGAATTATTTTTATTTTTTTTTCTGTTATATGCTAAACTATAAACATTTGCATAAAAGTTTTCGCATGAACATAGGGTTTAATGCTCTATAGTAACTCTGTTTGACTTTTTGAGGAAATGTCAAAACTACCAAGCTGTTTTACAAAGCAGCTACTTCTATTTTACATTCCCACCCACAACATACAAAGGTTTTAATTTCTCCACATCCTTGCCAACACTTGTTACTATCTTTTTGACTTTAGGTAGTATTATTTTATTGGTTTCATCTACATTTCTTTAATGACTAATGACACTGAGCATCTTTTCACACGCTTATTGGCCATTTGTTATATTCTTTTGAGAAATATCTATTCAAATCATTCGTCCATTTTTTTTTTTTTTAACTTTCTTTGCCCTTTCGTGTGTAGTTTACATGGAGGCTTGACTCCATTCAAGACAACTCAGGGCTAATAGACTTTTATTCTAATAAAAACTTTAATTTTTCACCTTCAGACTGGACATGGTGGTGCAAGCCCGAAGTCCCAGCTACTGGGGAGTCCCCAGCAGGAGGATCATTGAGCCCAGGGAACTTGAGCCTGCAGTGAGTTCTGATGACACCACTGCACTCCATCCAGGGTGACAGAGTAAGACCTTGCCTCAGGAAAAATAATTTTCTTTCACCTTCAAAATACAATAGAACCTCCACAGTTGGCCACCTCCTTATACTGACCATGTCCTTTAGTTGACTTAATTTTCACAGACCAGACATGCACCACATGTACAGCTCAGTTAAGGAGGCTTAGTTCCTTATGTTGACCACCTCTGTATGTTGATCAGTTGTTATAGTCCCTTCACAAAGGGTCAATTTACAAAGATCCTACTGTCTTTATTTTCCTGTATTTTCCAGATTGCAGTCCTCGATGGCGCAGTCAGGAGTGAAACTCTCTGCCTTCTCTCTGTTATTTGTTAGTCTCATTTCATCTTCACAAAGCAGTGCTTTCCTCTTTGTTTTCTTTCATAAACTTCAACTCATTCTCGGCCTTGTCTTTCCTCTTGGTCCATTTCAAAATTGGATTGTCTTTTTATTGTTGAGTTGTAAGAGTTCTTTATATGATATATTCTGGACATCCCTTATCAGATATATGATTTGCAAATATTTTCTCCCATCCCATGGGTTGCTTTTCTTGATATGATAGTACAAAAGTGTTAATTTAGATTAAGTCCAATTTCTGTATTGTATTAGAATAAATTGAATTAAACTTAATTTATCTTTTATCTTTTTTAAATGTGTTAATGCTTTTGTACTTAAGAAACCATTTCTTTCCTTTCTTTCTTTTATTATTATTATTTTTTTTTTGTGAGACAGAATCTCACTTTGTCACCCTTGATAGAGTGCCGTGGTGTCATGCTCACAGCAACCTCCAAATCTTGGGCACAGGCGATTCTCTTGCCTCAGCCTCCTAAGTAGCTGGGGACTACAGGTGCCTGCCACAAGCGTCTACTTTTTTTTAGAGATGAGGTCTTGCTCTGGTTCAGGCTGGTCTCGAACATGTGAGCGCAAGCAATCCACCTGCCTTGGCCTCCCAGAGTGCTGGAATTACAGGCATAAGCCACTGCGCCCAGCCTAAAAAACCATTTCTTAATCCAAAGGCACAGAAAGATTTACTCTTCTGTTTTCCTGTAAGAGTTTCTTAGAAAAGCCTTAGTTTTTACATTTAGGTCTACAACTCATTTAATTAGATTAATAGTTCTAATATTAAATGATATGATGTAGGGCCACTCTTTTTCTTTACTTTTCTTTTTAGTTATTTTATGATATGATGTAGGGCCTCTTTTCTTTCCTTCCCTTCCCTTCCTCCTTCTGCTTCTCCGCTCCCTCCTTCCCTCCCTTTCTTTTTGAAAAATGGTTAGATGCCTAGGTAGGCGGCAAGGTCTTAACCATATGAGCGTTGTTAGGTCCCAATGTCTCCTTTTATTCCTGTTAAGGAAGTGTTAACTTTCTTTCCTTTCACACAATGTATTTAAAAATATCTTTTAGCGGGGACACAATTATAAGAGGGACTGTACCTAACAAATGCAAACAGTGTAACCTAATTTTTTGTACCCTCAATGAATCCCAAACAATAAAAAAATTAAAAAAAAAATCTTTGAGTAAATGTAGCACATATAGAAAAGTGTACAAAATAAAAATATATAGTTAAATAAAATATAATAAATACTTTGTAACCAACACCCAAGTCAAGAAACAGGATACTGTCAGCACTCCATCCCTCAATCAATACTCCTTCCTTTTCTATAAAGTAACTGCTGCTCTCTAAAGCAACCTCTCTTATATCTTCTTAGTTTTACTATCTAAAAATGCATCCCTACCACTAGCGTTTCAGTTTTGAAACTCTTATCAGTGGAATTGTATCTCTTCTGGCTTCTTTTATTCTACTTTTCCAAAGTGATTATTGGTACTTCAGTTTCAGCCCTTACAAACGGTAAGACTGCTTGTTCCACACTCTTGCTAACACTTGCTATTGTTGGTTTGTTTGATGATAGCCATCTTGGAGGGTGTACAATAGTATCTCACTGTGGTTTTCATGTGCTTTTCCCAGATGACTAATGAGATTGCCCACCATTTCAAATATTTATCGGTGGAGTACCTAGTCTAGTCTCTTGCCCATTAAAAAAATTTTTGGTTTTCTGCCTTTTTCTTTGTTATTTCTAGAAATTTTCAAACATTATCTGGATATGAGTCCTTTGTGAATAATATGAATTACAAATATCTTCTTTCATTTTGTGGCTTAATTGTTCAATCTCTTAATGATTTGTTCTTTTCTTTTTAGACAGAGTCTCATTCTGTCACTCCAGCTAGAGTGCCTGGACTACAGTGCAGTGGTATCATCCTACTTCACACAACCTTCATGTGATCTTCCTGCCTCAAGCTCCAGACTAGCTGAGACTATAGGTGCTTGCCACAATGCCCTACTAATTTTTCTATTATTATTATTATTATTATTTTTAGTAGAAACAGAGTCTTGCTCTTGCTAAATAGAGTCTTGCTCTTGCTCAGGCTGGTCTGAAACTTCTGAGCTCAGGTCATTTTCCCACCCTGGCCTCCGAGAGTGCTAGGATTACAGGCATGAACCACTGCCCTGGCCACTGTTTTTGATGAGCAGAAATTTTTATTTACAATATAATCCAACATATTGATCCTTTCATGATCAGAGCTTTTCTGTCTAGTTTAGGAAGCTTTTTCTAATCCTAAGGTCATACAGACATCCTTCTATATGATCTTCTTAGAAATTTTCTTTTTGCATTTAGATTTATAATTTGCCTGAACCTCTGTGTATGATAAAGGTATGGGTTAAATTTAATTAAAAATAAAAGATATCAAATCATTCCAGCAAACATCTTCCTTTCTGAACTGTCTTAAAGTACCTTTGTTGTCATAAATCACACACTCCTTTAGTTTTGGTCTATGTCTGAGTTCTTTATTCTATTTCATTGATTTTTCTGTCTCTCCTTACAAATCCATGTAAGTTAGAAAAATAACTTATGAAGTTCTACTGGGGTGAAAAAGAACTGCTGGAATCTTGATTGAGATTGCGCTAAATTTGTAGATCAATTTAGGGAGTTTGATAATTTCATATTAAATCTACTAGTTCATGAACACGGTATAGATCTTCCATTTATTTAGACCACTTTTGATCTCTTTCAGAAATGTTTTAAAAGCCTGGTCAAGGTGGCTCAGGCCTGTAATCCCAGTACTCTGGGAGGCTGAGGCGGGAGGACTGCTTGTGCTTGGGAGTTTGGGACCAGTATGAGCAAGAGCCAGACCTTGTCTCTACCAAAAATAGAAAAATTAGCTGGGCATTGTGGTGGGGGCCTGTAGTCCCAACTCTTGGGAGGCTAAGGCAGAAGACTAGGTTGTATTCAGAGAGTTTGAGGTTGCTGTGAACTAGGCTGACACATTGCACTCTAGCCTGGGTGTCAGAGTGAGACTCCCGTCTGTAAATAAATAAATAAATGTCTTAAGGTTCTCTGTGTAGAGCAGGAGTCCTCAAACTTTTTAAACAGGGGGCCAGTTCACTGTCCCTCAGACTATTGGAGGACTAGTCCGCTGCTAAGCAGGACAGGTAGTGGTGGCAAAAACACCCGGTGGGCAGGATAAATGTCCTAGGCGGGCCGTAGTTTGAGGACGCCTGGTGTAGAGGCTTTACACATCTTTCATTGGATTTGTTCTTAGATATTACATATTTAATAGATTTTTATATTACTTTAAATGGTATTTTAACGTTTTCATTTTCTAATTCTTTTTTGGTTTGTAACACAAATGATTTTTGTTAGACAGTAACCTAGTTATTACTAATCCAGCTAGTTAACAAACCAGGAGGAACCCTCAACTTCTGAGAGATGAAGCTGATAGATAAATAACTCCACCTCCTCACTCCTCAACAGGTTAATTCTCAGGTACATCCCACACAGTCTCTTAGAGAGTTCCTGGTGGGACTGAGTTCTAATTGGCCATGGTGGTAAAACACACATCAGAGGAACCTTTATTGGGTTTTCTCCTTTTCCTACCTGATACTTCCATTCTTGGTTTCCTGCAATCACTTTAATAAATAAACTATTTATAGCCAAATCCTTGTCTCATGGTCTGCTTTGGGGGAAACCAAATACAGGCATAAGACTTGGCCTATTTCAAGGATGTCATCTTCGGGACTCAACACAAATTAAGAGTGGTTCATTAGCACTCCCCACTGCACTGGGGGATCCTAGACATCAATCCCTGTTGTCTTAGCCCTGAATGCCTGTCAGAGTAACTGCTCAATCTCTTGGCTTCCCAGTTTGTATTTCTGAAATTAACAGGCATCCCTTGGGGGGGGGGGGATGCTCTCAAGAGAGGATTAATTTCCTGGGTCTTCTTCATCCCTTGGACCCTAGTTTCAAAATTTATCATTGTTTTGTTAGCTTTCTTGTGCCTTTAAGTAGATTTAAAGAAATATTTTGCCTAAATTTTTCGGTTGTCCTCAAAGGCAAAATTAGTCTGAATTCTTAGAAAGACAGTCCTTAGCCTCCTTCTCCAAGGTTTGTCCTACACTTTGACTCTTCAAAGAGCTTTAGCCTGAGGGCACCCCCCTCCCCCCAAATCTCAGTTTCTCTATCTGTATTTCCTCCACTCCCATCCATTTGATGGTCATAACTCCATGCCTTTATTTGTTTTTCCCTGTTCAAAGTGTGACCCACTGAAGTGTTAGATCCTTGGGATAGTAAAATTTTTCCTATATGCCATCTGGGACAACAAAAAGATAGCAATGCCAAGATGGTTATCAGTCAAAGACCACATAAGCAGGTGAATGGGCTGCTCAGAGGTAGACCACCAACCTTCAACCAGGAGAAAAAGTCTCAATGCTAGGAAACCATGAGTGGGTAAATTGAATTAAAAGCAAGATAGAAAAATAATAAAAGATAAAGGGCAGATCTGTAAGAAAGAGAAATAAGCCAAGGTATAGGCATGGTGCGGTCTGTTCAGGGGCAAATAAAAAAAAACAAAACAAAACTATGTTTTTGGCTTTGTTTTAGCACAGTGATTATGGCACCAGCCACATACATCAAGGCTGGCAGGTTCGAACCTGGCCCAGGCCAGCTAAACAATGACAAATGCAACCAAAAAATAGCTAGGCATTGTGGCGCACGCCGGTAGTCCCAGCTAGTTGGGAGGCTGAGGCAAGAGAATTGCTTAAGCCCAAGAGTTTGAAGTTGCTGTGAGCTTTGACATCACAGCACTGTACTGAGGGCGACGTAGTGAGACTCTGTCTCAAAAACAAACAAATAAACAACCTCCCCCCCATGTTTAAGTTAGATATTTTATTTGCTCAGAACATTTTTGAAAGTGTGGCTTAAATGAATTTTCTTAATTCTCTTGGCTGAAATCACTTACTCCTTCAACTTCCATGGCATCAATAAATACTTATTGGTATTTATATATATTTTTTCTATTGTCTTTGAACAGTCTGTTCCTTCTAAGTTATTAACTACTATATGGTAGCCTTGGTATAGTGGAAAAAGGAATGGAACAAAGTCAGGAGACCTGAGTTATAGTCTCAAATTAAGCACTTCCCCTAAGGGGTTTGAGCCCCAGTGTTCTCATGTGTATAATAGGGAGAAAGAATATAATTTACCCCATAGTGTGATTTGAATATTAAATGATATAAGGTGTAAAAGTGATAACACAGAGAGCCCTTGACAAATGTGTCCACCCACTGTACCTATTAAGTGTAAGAACTATTCTATGTGATTGACATTTATAGACATCACCATAACCCTGTGTAAATCTATTAGTATGAAATATTTATCAAATGAGAAAAAAATGCTATGATAAAAAAATCTAAAAAAGGCCACATAGTTAAGCAGTTAAAACAGAATTCAAACCTGGATCTGTTTTGTTCCAAAACTAGCAGTGTACATTTATCTAATCTGCTTCCTCAGAGCTCACATGGACTTTTAATAGTGGCCTTGAAGTCTAATCTGGGCTGATATTGGAGCTGGTGACCTAAAACGTATTTCATTATTTGTCTCAAGAGGTATCTTGTCTATCTTTATATGAATATATATATAAATAAAATTTTTTTTTTTGAGACGGAGTCTATGTCATTCTTGATAGAATGCGGTGGCATCACAGCTCATAGCAACCTCAAACTCCCAGTTATTTTTTGCTGCTGTTGTCATTGTTGTTTAGCAGGTTGGAATCTGCCAGCCCCTGGTGTAGGTGGCTGGCACCATAACCACTGTGCTATGGTCCCGAGTCTAATTTTTTTTTTTTTTTTTGAGACAGAGTCTCTTGCCCTGGGTAGAGTAATGTGGAGTCAAAGCTCACAGCAACCTCAACCTCTTGCGCTCAAGCAATCCTCTTGCCTCAGCCTCCCAAGTAGCTGGGACTACAGGTGCTTGCCACAACCGCTAGTTTTTCTATTTTAAGTATAGACGGGTTTCACTCTTGCTCAGGCTGGTCTCCAACTCCTGAGTTCAGG